GGTGCTGCAGGGCGAGGACACCCAATGACGAAGTGTGGACGCACAACAGTGGCAGGAGGCTGAGTACTAGGGCAGACTGGGATCAGTCCGGTGGCAGTGAGGGCCCCTGAGGCCATCGGGGTGCAAGGTGCTCTCAGAGCAGAGGAGGGAGACTCAGGGCAGAAGCCGGAGTGGAGGTAGGGAAAGGTCCTGGAGGCCAAGGCAACAGGCAAGGGGCCGTCGAGTCCAGTGAACAAAACATCAGGCACTGGAGCGGCGCTGGAGCGTGGTGACAGAGCGACAGAGATCCCGGCCAGGGAGCAGAGGCGGGTGTGCGAGAATCAGCCTGGCGCATTCTGGGAGTGAGCAGGCGGGTCAGCTGGGTGGGCTGCCCAAGGGCAGGGGATCAAGCCCAGTAGGGAGAGTGAGGTTGACTTGGAGATTTGGGGCCAAGCAATAGGGTACCCAGTGGAGCAGATGCCAGACTAAGAAGAGGAAGGCTGGGGAGAACAGTTTTCTTTCTTCTCATTTTTTAAAATTACTTGATGATTATTAATTTTAAAGATTTATTTATTTTATTGGAAAGTCAGATATAGAGAAAGATATATATAGAAAGAGAGTAAGATTTTCCATCTGCTGATTCACTCCCCAAATGCCTGCAAAGGCCAGAGCTGAGCCAATCTGAAGCCACGAGCCAGGAGCTTCTTCTGGGTCTCCCACGTGGGTGCAGGGTCCCAAGGCTTGGGGCCATTCTCTACTGTTTTCTCAGGCTGTAAGCAGCTGGATGGGAAGTGGAACAGCAGGGACATGAACCATCGCCCATACGTGATCACGGCGCTTGGAGGCAGAAGATTAGCCAATTGAGACATCGCACTGACCCTGAATCAGGGAACTTTGAAAGATCGCCGTGATCCTTATTTCTCTGTGGCGATTCGCTCTGCCAAATGACAAGCTCACCCAAACGCCAGAGCCACAAAAAAGCAGCCAGCAGGCCAGGGAGGTCCCTGTGATTATCAACACAGGGGAAACCTCCGGCTCAGACGACATTCCCTCCCCACCCTCCCGCTTCCCTCAAGGTTATCACAAATCAACCCCCCCTCGCCACCGCCACCAAATCCTTCTGACTGTTCTTTGGAAATGGGTGAGGCTGGAGATTGTCCAACTGTCTGAGGACTTTTTTTTCCCCCCTTTGGTTGAGATTAGCCTGGCACCCAAGTGGAGATAGACTCGGAGTAGAGCTGACAGGCAGCTCAGACTGAGTGTCGGGGATGTGGCTGCTGTATGCATGGCGCCTGTGGCCTTCAGTGCTGGTGTAACCTCGCCTCAGTCCTCCATGCAAGTTAAGGGGATGGACATAGGATGCTGTCCACCACTCTAACTGAAGACCTGAAACCCCGAAGGAAGGGGTTGTCCAAGGTCAGAACCAGACCAATAAAGCAGGGTGGAGGGCCCAAGGCTTCTGGGTTCCATCCAATAACGCTATGGTAACAGAATCATGACTTTCACATCCAGGGTACAGCCCTGCAAAGGGGCATGGCAGGTGCGCTCTGCCAAGGTCTTGGCTCACCACCGTGCCAATAGCCAGTGCACAAGACCATAGACTAAACGGAGCAAGATGAACCATCAGAGGCAGCCCGTATAGGCAGGCATTGGAAAGCAAAGACACCCGACAAGGTTTCAGGCGGTGATAAGGAAGCTTTGGCAGTGTGCTAGGAGGAACCTGTCCAGCTGGAAACCTTCCCCTTGGAGGCGTTGTAAACATCTTCCCTAGCCTCCTGCCTAGGACAATCCATCCTATGTGCATTTCATTTAGAAGGAATTCCATGTGGCAGCCCCACCCCCCCAACCCCACCCACCGTGGCATTCCAAATTAAGCCTCTGCCTGCAGCACCGCATCCATTTGGGTGCCAGGGAGAGTCCTGGCCGCTCCATGTCTGGTACACGTCCCTGCAGATGCATCTGGGAAAGCAGCAGAGGATGGCCCACTGCTTTGGACCCCTGCACCCACTGGGAGACCCAAGGAAGGGCCTGGCTTTTGGCTTTGGACAGGCCCAGATCTGGTTGTTGCCACCATTTGGAGAAACTAACCAACAGAGATATCACTGTCTTCCTTCTCTCCGTAAATCATTCCTCCTCTTCAATAAAATTAAAGAAACCTTTTTTTTTTCCCTTTAAGGCCATTCCATCATGCAGAGAAACTTCCAGAAGGAACTGCCACCTCAGCTTGACCTCCGACCTGCTGCTGGGAGGTCACAGGTGCTGACAGGGTCATCCCCCCCCCCTCACTTCCGCCCAGCGCAGAGCTAAGCAGCTTGCCTGTGTGATCTTGTGCAGCCCTCACAGGCCTCCGCAGGAGGCTCCAGCAGGAGCAAAGCCCTACAGAGCCAGGAACCTGGCTGCAGTCAGTGGTTACTCTCAATTCGGACAGAGTAGTCCATCGAACACACAGGGCAACTTTATGAAACAGGTGGCAAAGTAGCTTAAAAAAAGATCTACAGAGAGAGGAAGAGTAACACACACACACACACACACACACACACACACACACACACACGGAGAGAAAGATCTTGTATGAGCTGTTTCGCTCCCCAAATGGCTGCACTGGCCAGGACTGCACCAATCCAAAGCCAGGAGGCAGGAGCTTCCTCCAGGTCTTCCACACAGATTCAGCAGACTAAGGACTTGAGTCATTCTCCACTGACTTCCCAGGCCATAATGGATTAGAAGCAGAACAGCCAGGACATGATCCGATACCCATGTGAGATGCCAGCACTGCAGGTGGAGGCTTAATTTACTATATCGCAGCACCAACTTGTGGGGTTGGTTTTGTTGTTGTTGTTTGTTTGTTGCCTCTTCGGCTTCATTTTTCTTGATTTGTTGATTTATTTTTGATGATTTTTTACATAGTTGATCAGGATGGGAAGGTGGAGGATCAGGGTGAGTGGGTGAGCGCATTGTTTACACATTTCCTTTTTCTTCTTCCTGTATTTGGGGAAGGGGGTGGGATACAAAGGGAGAAACCACGCCCAGCCTTGCCTCCCAATCACCTCAATACCCGGAGTGGGGAACGGCCACTCAGTGTCATCCCAGGGACCCCGGTGTGGAGTGTGTTCCGAGGGTTCTACTCAAGTGGTTTCAGTAGTTTTGAGATGCCGCCAATATCGCACGGCATCAACTTGTAACAGGTGCATTTTACTGTCCAGAACATTAAAGCAACAAGGAGTTCAAGAACTAGGCCTGTTCACACGTGAAGCCAGTGGCAAGGGCAGGAGAGGGGCAGGGGGAAGGTCTGTCGCGTCCATCAGTCACCTAGGGGACTTGCAGACCAGGGCGCTAGGCACCCAGTTCCTGCGCCCTAGGATGAGGCAGTGCCAGGGCAAGTTCCCGGGTGATGCCGCTTCCCCACCAGCCACCAGCCACCAGCGTGCATGTCTGCCTCGCTTATGTATTTTTAGGATTGACTGACTTTGAAGAGGGGCAGAGAGATCGTCCGCAGGCTGGTTCCCTCTGCCAGGACCCTGAATTCCACCCAGGTCTCCCACTTGGCTGCAGGGGCCCAAGCATGTGTGCCATCCTTTGCTCTTTTCCCAGGCGCGCTAGCAGGGAGTAGGCTCCAAACTGGAGCAGCCGGGACTTCAACCTGTGTACACGGGCTGCCCGAGGGGCAGTGCCTTTCAAGGAGGGCCTAGAGCTGTGTTTTAGAAAGTCCTCTTGAGAGTTTGGATGTTGTGGCAAAGTGGCTTAAGCCGTCACTTGGGACAGCCCCCCGCACCCCCGGAGTCTGGCTAGGATGCTTGGGAGGCAGCAGGTACTGGCTTAGGACTTGGGTCCTGCCCCTCACGTGGGATCCCAGACAGAACTTGTGGCCTCTGCCTTCTTCCCAGCACCCAGCGCTGGTGTGCACCTCTGGGGAGTGAACCAGCAACTCAAGAGAGCTCCTGGCCCCTACTCTTTCAAAGAAGTAAATCTTTCATCATTAGCGACAAAAATTAACTGACTTATTTCTAGAGTTGCAAAGAATGCTCCTCAGGGAGTTTTTTGCTCTCCTCCACCCCGCAAACCAGCAGAAGCCACAAATTGCTTCTTTAACCAGGGCTGGCTGGAACCCGCGGGGACTCCGGCTCCCCACGCCGGGACCCGAGGACGGCTGCGGTCCTGACTCTAGTTTTATTTACTTTTGCTTTATTTCCTCCTGTGCACGGCTAAGAACAAACTCAGACTCAGCCAAGTTGTCCAAGGGCCAAGGGACAGGTGCGGTGGGTCTTTAAATCGCAGGGCAGAGGGGGACGGCGCGGCGGTGATGCGGTCCCCGTGCGGCTCCCGAGGCCGCGGGGGTCCCAGCCAGCGAAGCCGCGGCGACCCTCCCGGCAGCCGCCGCCATTTTGCTCCGGGCGCACCTCGCAGGTTGCACCCCGCCCCGCCGGCGCCAGCAGAGTTGGGCCCGGGGCGCACGGGGCGCTCGGCACGCGGGGTCGCGGCGTCCACGCAGGTGCGGCTCGGAGCAGCAGAGCGCGTGGCCTGGGCAAGGGCTCCTGGCCCGGTGGGCGCCGAGCAAGGGACTCGACAGCAGGTGCGGTGGGGCAGCCAGCAGGCCAAGGGCAGCCGCCCGTGCGCCCCAGCAGGCGTTCTCGAGGGACCGAGCCCAGCCTGGGTGCCCACGCCGGGGGCAGGTCCGGGAGAGGCTGCAGGCTCGGTGGCCGCCCTCCATCCACCTTGCTCCTCGGTGCCCTCCTGAAGCCCCCGAGGGCCTGGGCTGCGCGGCCGCGCCCCTCCCTGCGCCCCCCGCGGCCGTTCCAAGTTCTCCGAAGTTTCTCCCGGGCTTGGAAGTTACGGTTTCGGCCCCGGGGCAACTGTTGCTAAGCGAAGTGAAAGCAGGCGGGCGTGAGGCTCTCGGGGCAAGGGGTGGGACCCGGTGGACCCGCCCTCGCCCTCCGCCACTGCCCGTCCCCTGGGCGGGGACTGCAGCCGGCGCCCCGCCCGGCCCGGTCTTAAGCGGCGGCGCGCAGCGGGCGCGGGAGTCGGGCGCGGCGGGTTCGCGGCTACGCGCTGAGTTTTCTGGTCGTTCCGCAGGTCAGGGCCGAGGACAGCCGCGTTTCTGAGGAACCCGCCAGGAATCGCCAAGATGCCGAAGCCAGTGAGTTACCCCGCGTCGTCGGGGCCTCCGAGCGGGTGTGCGCCGGGCTCGCTCCCGTGGGGGCGGGGGGTCACCTGCGCCAGGTACTGGGCTGGTGTTGGCAGGGCAGGGCTGAGCACGGAAGCCCGGGCTTCCGGTCGACTCCGAGAGAACTCGGGCAGGATGCGCGCGGACTCTCTTTTTCTCTCGGCCGTTTATTCCTGAGTCCCCAATTCTGCCCCTACCTGAACCCCATTAAAAACCGATCCCTCTCCGAGACCCTGGCTTCGTTGGCTTTGAAATTGCTCGCGGGGGTGGTTCCCTACGCCCTCCGCCGGCTCTCCCGGTTCCTCTTGATTCCTCCCGGAGTCCGAAACCAGGTGCAGCCCTTGGCTCCCCGGGGCGGGGAAGGACGTGGGCGTGGGACTGCGGGCGGGGGCCTCGAGGCCGCCTGGCTCACTGACTGCCCTGTGAACTGGACGCAGCAGGATTCCTGTTCCCAAAGCGTCCGAAGCTCTTGCCAGGGGAACGGGGAGTTGGTTAGGTCTGGGAGACCCAGGTTGGCCGCGCGCTCAGAGCGCACCTGCCGCTGGGATCCCGGGGCCTGCTGGAGCTTGCTAGCCGGGCGCGGTGGGGGGAGCAGGGGACCTTCGGAGTTCCAAGGGTGGCGCTGGACACCCGGGGGAGGGGGCTGTACTTGGCGGAGGTTCGAAATCCGCTTGCGGGTGCAGGGTTCAGGACTCGGGAGCAGTTAGAGATGAGTGTGGAATTTGTCATTTTTGCGAGGAGTGAGTTTTGCATTCTCTTGAAAAAATCTCTCCTTGACTTGTTATGTGGCCGGGGGAGGAGCCTCCGCTACTTCCCCGGGAAGATTTGCTCACGGTGCCGCAGGTGTTTTTCCTTCACAAAACTCTTTTTGGACTTTGAGTGACACACGTGACAGCCGGCATAATAGCTGTAAAACCAGCCTGGCACCACCCCTCGCCCCGCACCCCCAGCTGGGTGGAGTGGAACCTTAGGGGAGTGGTCCGGAGGTGACCCTGCCCCCTGTCGTTTTCTGAATGTCACCACTCGGGCTCAGAGATCTGGTTGCTAAGATGGCACTCGGAAAACCTGTTTCTGTCCCTGCTGCTTGTCGTCCTGTCTCATCAGCAGTTCTGTCTCATCCTGTCCTTGTCGTTAGGATAGAGTACACTTAGCACTGTTGCTGCCTTTCAGGGGTGCAGCGGGGTGCCTCTGGGTACCTCCTGCGTGGAACTGGCCTTCTCCTAAACCGCCGGTGCCCCTCCAAACTGCCACTCCCCATCCACTTGCCCACCAAGTTGCTGGCGGACTTCCCAGGGACCTGCAGGTGCAGTCACACAGGGTTCCCCAAAGTGCTGTGTGTGTGTGTGTGTGTGTCACAGCTTCCTTCCTTTTTAAAGCTCTGGGACTTTTACTGTCTGGTCGTTTTGGTTTGCTGTAAATGTCCTGCACTGGAGAGGTGCTGGTGGGCCTGCAGGCAAAGCCAGGCGTGGCTTGTGGAGGAGCCTGGGTGAACAGGATCCAAGTCTTGGGTCCCTGCACCTACACGGGAGACCCAGAGGAAGCTCCTGGCTCCTGGCTTTGGATCAGCTCAGCTCTGGCCACTGTGGCCATTTGGAGAGTGGACTTTGGAGAGGCTCGGCTGTGGGAGAGCCACAGCTATCAGTCCCTCCCCTGGGGGCGGGTTGGGGAGTAGGGGGCTGGGCAGCCTCCCTCCAGGTGAGCTGTTACCTGTCTTCCAGGGCTGTGTTGCCTCCTCTACTTCAGGAAAGCAAGCTGCGGTTGTTTTCCTCCCCTGATGGGGCCCACACCCTAGGTTACTCCTGAGAGGAGCTTAGCAGTGCTGGGTGCTTGGATCTCGGTTTTCATTTAATTTTGTTTGCTTGAATGCTTGTTTGCTGTGTTTCCATACCGGAACTTACTAACAAGCTGGAATGTGGATTTATTCAGCCAGACCAGGCAGGCTGCCCAGAGGGGCGGGAGGTATGGGTCTCTTGCACCGGGAAGCCCACTGGGTACCCTCCGAGGGGAGGCCATAGCGAGCACCCTTGCATGGCTGGGGCTGGGGAGTTGGTGCTGAAGCAGCCCTTGCACCTGGGCAGAACCGAGGAGCTGTTCCTCTTTCCTCCCCCCCAACCCCCCGTGACATGGGGACAGGAGGTCCTGTGGGGTGGTCAGGTGTGCAGTGAGCTGGCAGTCATGGCAGGGCTGCCGGTCATGGCAGGGCTGCGGCTGTTGGAGAGCTCAGGGGAACCAGGGTGCAAGCCGGAAGTGCCACAGAAGCTGAGGCCTGGCAGGCTTATGGGAACAGCCTGTCTAACCCCAGTGCCCTTGGCCAGGGTCCCAGGGGCTCCCACCTCACCTCCTGGAGAGTAGTGGTCATCTCCACTAGACATTGTCACAGGGACAGCATTTACTGAGGGCTTCGTATCTTGTGGGGTCTCCACTGTTCTGATCTGCCTCTCCTTTTTCGTCCCATCCCCGCTCCTCACCCCTGGCAGGTGGCAGAGAGTGAGGTAGCCAGGGCTGAACCAGGTGGCGGTGAGAAATGTGGCAGGGTCTGGTGCCTTGCCAGCGTTTGGAGATGCAGTGGGTCAGTTACCCCGAGGGCTGCGGACACAGCAGGCACAGTGGCAGCCTGGCACCAGTGGGGACCTGAAGCGCAGAAGGGGGGCTGGGAGCCTGAGTGTACAGATGAAGATGGTGCCTGGGGAGGCGATTGGGCAGAGGGGACAGTGTGTGGAGTCCTTAGACAAAAGGGAGTAAGGGGGCAGGGTAGGATGGGGGGAGGGGGGTAGGAAGGGAATGATAAGACAGACGTGCTCAGCTCAGGGTTAGATCCGGAAGCTGGGGGCAGGAGAGTCGCTGGAGGCTGGAGGGAGGTGACAGGAGCCGCGGCCTAGGGTGTGGAGGTCACCCAGATGAGCGCTGGTGCTCTGGGCTGTGGTGGTGACGGACAGCCTTGGGCTGGGCTGGGGGCGGGGCACCTGCGTGAGAACTGCTGCTGAGGTGGGAAACCTGGCTGAGGGCCCAGCGCTGCGGGAGGAGACGGTCTGGTTTTGTGCGCGTTGCCAGTGTGTGTGATGGGAACTGGCAACACGATTCCCTGCCTTCTGGAAGCCCACCTCCAAGGCCACTGCACCATTATTGGGCCTGGAAACAGGCCAGGAGGGACCAAGGGGCCCATGGGTAGCTGTTGGAATCTCTGCCTCCAGAGGCCAGCAGGGGGTGTCTTCACTGGCTCACTCCCCAAATGGACCTCAGTGGAATGGGCCTCAACGGCCGGAGCTGAGCCAATCAGAGGCCAGGAGCCAGGAGCCTCCTCCAGGTCTCCCAAGTGGCTACTGCAGGATCCCTAAGGACTTGGCGGCATGCTCCACTACCTTCCCAGGTCACAGGCTGGCTGGGAAGTGGAGCAGCCAGAACTAGAACTGGTACCCATATGGGATGCCAACACCACAAGGAGGAGGATTAACCTGTTGAGCCACCACACTGGTGTCATGATTTATTTTTACTTCTTTGAGAAGTAGAGGTGAGGGCTGGGCGGGTGGCCTAGTGGCTGAGATCTTTGCCTTGTACGTGCCAGGATTTCATATGGGCACCAGTTCTAATCCTGGCAGCCCTGCTTCCCATCCAGCTGCCTGCCTGTGGCCTGAGAAAGCAGTTGAGCATGGCCTAAAGCCTTAGGACCCTGCACCCATGTGGGAGACCCAAAAGAGCTCCTGGCTCCTGGCTTCAGATCAGTGCAGCTTCGACTATTGTGGTCACTTGGGGAATGAGTCATCAGACGGAGGATCTTCCCCTCTATCGCTCCTCCTCTCTGTATGTGTTTGACTTTGCAATAAAAATAAATAAATCTTAAAAAAAAAAAAAAAGGAAAGCAGAGGTGAGAGATCTTATGTCTGGTGGTTCACGCTCCAAATGGCTGCAGTGACTGGGGCAAAGCCAGAGCAGAGCTCAGCGTCAGGAGCTTCCTCTGCGTCTCCTGTGGGTGCAGGGCCAAGGGCTTGAGTCATCTTCTGCTGCTTTCCCGGATGCCTGAGCAGGAACCTTGGTAGGAGGTGGAGCTGCAGCCGGGCGTCAGGTAGTAGCTTAACTTGTTAAGCTGCAGTGCTGCTCCCCCATCCCCTCTTAAAGGCTTCTTTTTGATTTAATTATTAAAAGGCAGGCAGGCAGGCAAGAGACAGCATAAAATCTGCCATCCACTGGGTTCACCACCACCACCACCACCCCCCCCCCCACGCCCAGATGTTCCCAGTAACTAGGGCTGAGTCAGGCAGAAGCCAGCAACGCGGCCTGGGTTTCCCACGTGCGTGGCGGGAAGCCCAGCCCCCGAGCGTCGCCTGCTGCCTCCCGGGTGGACGGGAACGGGCAGCCGGCCCTTGAGCCCAGGCACTCTAACTGAAGACTTGAGTGAGAGAGTTTCTCTGTGTGGCTTTGGTGGCTTGGAGTTCCTGGTTGGCCCTATGTGCTTGGCTCTCCCAGCTCTGCCGTCGGAAGCAGGGAAGTTCAGATCGCATTTTGTTTCAGCTCAGCAGGAGCCATGGCGGCGCTCCTCGGCCACTCCAGCAGGTCTGGCGTGTCAGCACGAGCTGTGCACGCATGGGGTGTTTGCATAGCTTGCCTTCTGCCGTGTTTACCACAAAGAATAAAACTATGCTTTGGATTTCTGTGAATGGTTTAACGTTTCCCCGCAAAGCTCTTGTGCTGCCGTGCGACGCAGAGACCTGCGACTGAATTTCTAAATAAAACGGGGGAAAAAACGCAATCAGGTCTCTTCTTGCCGCCTGTCATCCAAGAGGCCATTGAGCGGATCAGCCTCGAATCTGTCCTGTGTAAAATAACGGAAGTTTGGAGGTGGCAGGAAGTGTTTTGTGCTATAGTTGGAGACAGAGTTTTGTATGTCTTTAATACCCAGTCTCCCTTCTGATGCTGGAAATCGCTTCCTGCCCGTCCCCATTGTCTCCCACCCTGCAGGGTCACCTGTCAGCCACGTG